GTGTATGCATGTAGGTGTGTGCACGTGCGAAATATCAGCGTTAAGAGGGTATTAAAAGTAGTTGGAGAAAGTCGGCACGAGTAGAAACAGGGGTGTGTGTGTGTGACGGTGTGAGTGTGTGTGTGTGTGTGTGTGTGTGTGTGTGTGTGTGTGTGTGTGTGTGTGTGTGTGTGTGTGTGTTTGATTGAGTGCGCATGTGAGTTCGAGTGTATATGTGATTGCGTTCGTGTTTGTATGTGTGTGTGCGTGTATGTGTGTGTGTGTGTGTGTGTGTGTGTGTGTTTGATTGAGTGCGCATGTGAGTTCGAGTGTACATGTGATTGCGTTCGTGTTTGTATGTGTGTGTGCTTGTATGTGTGTGTGTGTGTGTGTCGGGGGATGTATTTGTTTTAGTGTATGTGTGTACCCTGATTCAACTGGGCACTCATTTACGCCATAAATATTATTCAGAGGTTATTTTCTGCTTTGCTACTACGTCATATTTACAAACTGCCTAAATTTCATCACTTACTGAACTAATCTAAATCTACTTCCTAATGTACTAACTCATTCGAGATCTGACCTACTCCCTCCTTCTAGAACCCACGTGTTTACTCTTTTACCCACTCATTCACAAAGAGACTCACATATTCCCCACCTCACACAGGTCCTCTTAACCTCATTCTCTCCCTCAACTCATCTTAGCTTCACTTTTTCACTAACATACTCTTAAACTCACCCTCTCACTCACATAATTCTTTTAAACTCACTAGTTTGATCTTACTCACATTCACTTAAACACACTCTGTTACTCACTTTCTTTTTACCTCACTTTTTCATTCGCCTCATCTCATACTCATTGTCTCACTCACCTTTTCTTTCTCTTACTCCTCCGCTCACTCATTGGGTATTGCACTCTTTTACTTCCTCTGTCCCTCGGTTGGTGGTTGGTGGGTGTTCTAGTGTGGTTTTCTTCTTGTTCTGTCATATGAAACATCTATCGTCCTTCTCTCTCCTCCTTTTTTATTGTGTTTGTTACTCCCTTGTAACACCCCTAATCTCCGTCACGTTATTGTGTTGCATGTGCCGTAAAATTCTTAATATATTCTTTTTTAAATGTCCCTCATTTGCTGATCTATTTATCCACAGAGAACAGAAAAGGGCGAAAAAGAGAGAACGAAAGAAAGAGAGAGAGAGCGAGCGAGAGAGAGAGCGAGCGAGAGAGAGAGAGAGGGCGAGAGAGAGAGAGAGAGAGCAAGAGACAGACAGACAGACAGACAGACAGACAGACAGACAGACAGA